GGGGGGGGGGGGAGGCAGACCAAAAGGAAGAAAAATTATGTAAAAGAATTATAGTTCACAGGAAAAATAAGAGTCAATGTTGGCTCAGATTCCTTGAGAAAAACCCTTTCAGGTCATTGCAAAATACCATATGGTATATGAAAAGATGCAATTGACCAAGGAGTAAATTTAATTACCAGCTTTACAATTCTCTGATGATTTCTACAGAGAAGGAATGACCTGTTATTCTTCCCCTGGGGACTGGTTTAGAACCAAATTGGAATTATGGAGGTGTATAAGGCTGTGCTGGGGCTAAATAACTGTTAGCATTAATCCAATTATTTACACCCAACAAATATCTTTGAACAACAACAACAAAAATCTTTGAACACCTTTTATGTACCAAACACCCAGGTTCTGAATCCTGTAGCCTCCCCACCACACACACCTATGGTGACATTTAAAAGAACTAGCTGGTTTTTGTAAACACTATTGAATCCTTTGAGGAAGTTTCCTTTTTGCAGATGAGAAAATAGATTGCAGGGAACACAAGTGTAGAGTTCAAATTCTATTGAAATTCTTTAGCAGAGGAATGAGCAGGGATAAAGACAACTGAATGACAGAGTATTAAAACTTCAGAATTACGTTGCACGTCTGCAATGTGAGACGGATAGTAGTCATGGACGAGAAATATAAATAACTATCTCTGTGTTGCTGAAACCAGCTGCCGGATACCAAGACCTCTTTAAAATAAATTTAAAAACCCAAAAAATTGCCAAAGAAATTGTGTAATGAGATCTGTCTTTGTCACAACAGTTTTTCTGGCTTTTTTCAGTCTCTAGCCACCTAGAACAGCTTGTACAAATATGTTTGAAGTTATAGTTTTTATAAACAGAAAGATGTGTATGAGAACCCAAACGGGTTCCTAAATGACAGTTGAGAGGGTTTTTTCTCTCTGACAAATAAATTCAAATAAAATTATATTGAATACCTTTTAAATCATTTTATTAAAGTTAGTTGTTTCTCAGTCTGTTTTTATAAATGCATTGAGAGATGTCTGGAATGATGTTAACCAAATATTAATAGTAATTTCTGGGAAGTGAGATTAGGGTGACACTTAAAAATATTTTTGGTATTGATTGATTAATTTTTCCAATTAGCAAGTATAATTTTTATAAAAACAATAATGCTGTAAGAATAAATCATGTACATATTTTTCTAGAAATTGTTTCTAAAGACTGTATTTCAGTAGCCTCACTGTATTTTATTCACCTCCAAAACTCTTGACCATTGAGCTTGGATAATTTTTTTCTTCATAGCTTTTTTAGATGTTATGTTTTACATTAAGTTAATGTTCTCTGCCCCCTCCCCTTGTGTTCTGCTTAGCAAAAGATACAGATATTGTGGATGAAGCCATCTATTACTTCAAGGCCAATGTCTTCTTCAAAAACTATGAAATTAAGGTAAAGTACAGAGCTTTTAATATTTAATAATTTTCTGATGGGGAAAATATCTAGCTGGCAGTCACGGCTGCTCCGAGGAGTAAATAACATGAGATTCTAGGCTTCTGAAAATCCAGAACAGTACTTAATGTTAGACTTTATATCAATATTAGTTTCTTGTTTTTCTCCCAAAGTCTACACCAGGGCCTGGCAAATGACAGCCAGAGGGCCAAATGTGGCCCAGCACCTCTTTTTGTAAATAAAGTTTTATGGTGGAGAAATAAACTTCAGGGACCTTGACCCTTCTTTCAAGCACCTTTTCTCCCCTTCTCTTAGTGTTTTGTAGGAATCAGGTTAAGGGGAACGTGGCAGAGAAGGAGAGGGGGAAATGGAAAAAAGCTTCAGAGCTCCTGCTATGAGCAAGTTACAAGAAATGTCAACACATTTTATGGATAATATTCTAGAAAATGGAACTTCAACTCCTTGCCAAACTTTAACCTTTTGGAATCAAACAGGTTCTGAAATTTTTATTTCCAGACTCTTGGCCTGCAAATTATAGTCTAAACATTCTGTGATATAATTCTGCCACATTTCATTCTCTCTTGAATATCATATGATCTTAAATACAGGGAAATGTGTAGCTAGTTTGTTTTTTAAACTATAAGTCTGAGTAAAGTTTGACCTGAAGTACGTGCCACATTCGATCAACACCCATTTGCCTTTTCCACCTTTTCTTTTCAGTTAGGTTTAGAGTTGGGCTTGTGGAGCTCTTCAGGAACAAGTCACATGTGAAATAATTGCTTCCTCCTTTAGAGTCATGAATGTTTCTGTTCTCGGCAGAGATCCTAAAGTGAAAAGGTTTTTAAAAATTAGCCAACCATATGGTGCGCCTCAGGTTTCCCCGGCAGCTTTGTGAACTCTGCCTCCTACACAGAGCGAGGGACTGTTGGCACAGCTCCTTGGGAACCCAGGGGCAAGAGGAGCTGAGGACAGCAGTGGCAGCCATACAGCTCAGGGGCCTTAGAAGACTGCATTCGGAGAATGGGAGTTTTTTTTTATATATATGTATTTTTATTGATTTCAGAGAGAGGAAGGGGGAGGGAGTGAGAGAGAGAGAAACATCAATGATAAGAGAGAGTCATTGATCGGCTGCCCCCTGCATGCCCCTGACTTGGGATCGAGCCTGCAACCCAGGCATGTGCCCTGACCGGGAATTGAACTGGGATCTCCTGGGTCCTAGGTCGATGCTCAACTGCTGAGCCACGCCCGGCCAGGTGAGAACAGGAATTTTTGATGCTTTAGTAACTATACTTTGGCAGTTTTCAGTTGATCCAAAAGACAAAGATTAAATTCATTTATCACGCATAATTGTTGTATTTTGTCCTGAGACTGTTTTTAAGTTTCATTTTCCCCCCTGTAGAATGAAGCTGATAGAACCTTGATATACATAACTCTCTACATTTCTGAGTGTCTAAAGAAACTCCAAAAGGTAATAACACTTGGGTGATCATCTATCAGGAGAACAAATTACTAATAGGTATTTGGACTTGGTGGGACTTTAAGAGCAAGTAGAAAATACTTCCTTTGACTTAGAGTATGGACTTAAGGGGAGAAAATTTGAATGTAGATCTCTAAACTTACAGTGTAGTTGACTGCACGAATTTCCCAAGGCAGAAATCTTGAGCAGAAAAGTCCTTTTAAGCCTTTGGATCAGAGGATTTTAACTTGGGAGCCCAGGGACAGAATTCAGGGGGTCCATGAACTTGAGTGGGAAAAGATTCCATCTTTTCTTCACTAACCTGTAACTGAAATTTTGCACTTCCATTATTATGGTGGACAACAACCCACAGTTTATTAGCAATCCCTGTGACTTTTTCTCGAGTGGGAATCGCAGTACTTTGCATTTTGAGTGGAAGGTTTTTTGCAATATTGTTTACACTCGCTACTACTTCAGAATTTAGTCATTGGGGCCACTGCAAGATCTTGTGCTTAGTGCGTGAATGAAGAAGCACATGTATGACTATAACATAAACTTGATTTTTTAATATTATCACTATTGTATTTCAGTATCATTGGTTTCTTTTGTAATTTTATGTATTGTATTTTAAAACATTATTCTGAGAAGGGGCCCCCAGGCTTCACCAGATTGCAAAAGGTCACCAAAAACATTAACCCCAGCCATAGCTATTTAGACTAAAAAGTTGCAAATTGGATATTGGATATTATCCTTTTTCCCGTAAAATATGTGTGCGTGTGTGTGTGTGTGATTTTTTTTTTTAGTGCAATTCCAAAAGCCAAGGCGAGAAAGAGATGTATACACTGGGAATCACTAATTTCCCCATTCCTGGAGAGCCTGGTTTTCCACTTAACGCAATTTACGCCAAACCTGCGAACAGACAGGAAGACGGTAAGGACAGGGCCTCTGCCCCTCTCTGCGTGCGGCACAGGGTTTTCTGTGACTTTTTACCGTCCCCCCCACCCTGATGGCTGTACAGTTGAGAGTGGAGTCATTAGCACATTGTCTCGCTGGCCACTCTCACAAAAGACTCTTGGTAACAAGTATGGCGTGTAGAGAACCTTTTGGATCAAAATGAGTATAGTAATAAAACCTTCTGGATTGTCACTTTTATTTCTTACCCTGTCTAATTGTATAGAAACATATCGCAAAGGTCAGCGTCCAAATCAGCTGCAAGCGTTCGCGGTGCGTTCTCAAACACAGTTTTTGTATCGTTCTGCCTGCTCCTTATTTTAGAGGTGATGCGGGCCTACTTACAGCAGCTGAGGCAAGAGACTGGACTGAGACTTTGTGAGAAGGTGTTTGACCCTCAGAATGATAAACCCAGCAAGGTAAGACCCTCTTTGTTTAGTTGATAACTCACCTTTTATCCCATAGCCTCCATTATGAAACACACTAAGGTCTTTCATTGCAAGAAAACTTAGTTTCCGCGTTGCAGTGTTGCTAGACTTTGAAGAATTTTACATTATTACATGTGCTTTCAAGGAGTGTGTTAAACGTAAGGGCTGCCAGACTAATACTAAATTTTAATATTAAGTAAATTCATATTCTGGCCTTATTTTGAACTTGCATTGTGATTTGACTGCCACTGTTCGTTCTGTTTTGTCCCTTCTCGTTAGTGGTGGACTTGCTTTGTGAAGAGACAGTTCATGAACAAGAGTCTTTCAGGACCTGGACAGTAAAGAGAGCTGGGCCGGCACTTTCCGCAGCGGCGGGCAGCATTTTACAGCAAGATGTACACAGTTCTTTGCCTTTGTTTCATAAAGTTTTATACAAAAGAGAGAAGAGAATGTGTCTGTACTTGAAAAGTTCATTATCAAGAATTTGGAGGGGGAAAATGAGTTGTCAGAGGGTGATTTGAAATTTTCTGCAATATTAAGCTGGTGCTTAATAAGTAATAAAGAAATTTCTAACATTTTGTTGGGAAATTGTTATTCCTTATCTTTGGCATTCACTTAAAATGTTTTTGTGAGATAATATTCACCCTCTTAAAGTGTACGATTCAGTAGTTTTTAGTGTATACACAGTTTTGCAACGATCACCACTAATTCCAGAACATTTTCACTGCCCCCAAAATATGTACCTGTTCTCTTTAGCAGTCACCCGTTCCTCTCCAGTCCCCTCCTCCTAGTCCTGGCAACCACTGACCTACTTTCTGTCTCTATGGATTTGCCTGTTCTGGACATTTCACATAAATGGGGTTCATATAACATGGCCTTTGTGTCTGGTTTCTTTCTCTTAGAATAATGTTTTCAAGATTCATCCATGTTACAACTTTGTTCCTTTGTTTTTCCCTGTTTTTCTTTTTTGTGGTAAAATACATACCATTTACCATTTTAACCATTTTTCAGTGTTAATTACATTCCAATCACAATGTTGTGCAACCATCACCTCTATTTATTCCCCCAACTTTTTCATTACCCAAACTAGAAACTCTGACATTAAACCCCTGGTAACTGTAACCCAGCTCTGGGAACCTCTAATCTACTTTCAGTTTCTGAATTTGCCTATGTGTAGCACCTCAGATAATTGGAATCAAACAAGATTTTGTCCTTTTGTGTCTGGCTTTTATTTAGCATGATGTCTTCAGGCTTCATCTGCAGTGTAGCAGGTATCTGAATATTCCATTGTATGAGTAGACCGCATTTTGTTGATCAGTTTTTGGACTTCTGGGTTCTAGTTTTTGGCGGTTATGAGAACGTTGCCAAGAACATTCGAGTACACATTCCCGTGTGGACGTACGTTTCCATTTCTCTTGGTTGTATACCTACAAGCGGAATTGCTGAGTCATGGCAACTATGTTGAACTTTCTGAAGAACTGCAGGCTGTTTTCCGCAGTGGCCATGAGGGTTCTCATAGCTCCACATCCTCACCGACACTTATTTGTCTATAACCTCCCTAGTGGGTTTCAAGCAGTGTCTCACTGTAGTTTTTATTTGTGTTTCCCTGGTGACTAATGTTGAACGTCTTTTCATGTGGATGTTGGCCATTTGTATATCTTCTTTGGAGAAATATTTATTCAAATCCTTTGCCCATTTTTAACTTGAGTTACACTAGACCCTTGGATACATGATTCGCAAAAATGTTTTCCCATTCTGTCTTTTCACTTTCTTGGTTATGTCCTTTGAAGCACAGAAATGTTTAATTTTGGTGAAGTCCCATTTGTCTATTTTTTTCTTCGGTCACTTGTGCTTTTGGTGCCACGTTTCACGTACTCCGGAGTATGGGTGTGCCAAAACACACTGTAGATACCCGAAAGGCAGTTTTGAAACCAAGAGTGGTGGGTTGTTTTTGTTTTATAGTTTAAATTCTTATCTCAAATCAGATCCTGGGTGTTTGGGTTGGAACTTCTGTTACAGACTGTGTGATACAGGTCAGGAAGGGAGAAAAGGAAGCCACAGAGATCCATCACGAGTAAAGGTTTGTTAACAAACGCCTCCGTCTTTAATGGTGGAGCTCTCTGTGGTGCCCGCTCCAGGAGTGCCAGCAGGGGGAGCACCGCAATAAGCCCAGAGCCTGGCTCCCAGGGCATTTCCCCTTGGTGCTGTACAATGTAGGTGTTTGGTTTTGCTTTTTTAATGCGCCTGAGAGAATAGTTTCCAAAGGACTGAGAATAAATTATACAAGAAGTATAACGTAATGGATTTAAAAGTACAGCTTTGATCCCTCCCACTCTTATCTAAAATCAATGGAAAAATATCCTCAGGTGAGGAAAGGTGGACAGTATTTAATATGATTCCATCTTTGTTTACTTAATTGTAGGTACTCCAGGAAAAACAGTGGGAGCATATATATCAGACTGTTAACAGTGATTTTCTTGGGACAGGAACAATGACAAAAGACTTGTATGTTCTTAGTCATACATGCTATAATTCAGTAAGATATGTGTGACCTTCATAACTAGGGGAAAAAACTTCGTCACAAAAGATAGCTAGAAAATCAAATTTTAGGGGGGAAAATTTATTAGCCAAAACCAGGCTGAGGGACAACAGTCACCTTGTTCTTTTTTTCTTAAGCATCCTGTTTATCATTTTAATATGCCACTAATTACTGTCACGTGCTGAAAGATTACAGGACATGGAAATACTCAAACAAGACTTACGAGATTTGTTTTACTCTGCATTTCCCTTTTCTCTACAATTGCTAGTACTGAAGACTTTAACAGAACGTTTGGAGCCGTGTCCAGAAAGGGATGTCCTCCTATTACACCAAAAGCCATTTGGTCTGTTTCCCCGTCATTTTGTTTATAGAAGTTTGGAAGACCATTCCATTAGGAGAGTGTAATGTTAGGGCCGCATCTGCTCCGTGTTGATTTTGAGATAAAACATCAATCATGATTTTCCACTTTGCTTGAACACTGTGGCTCTGATTTATAGGTGATCTGGCAGTTGAGCTAAACACATTTTTAATCCTATTTAACTCTTGTAAGAACCTTTGTGGCAGATAAAAGTACTATCCCCTTTTCCAAGTGAAGCTGAGGCCTACAGAAGTGAAATAATAACTTGCTATAGTATAATTAATATAAATAATAGTATATATCACACACCTGGAAGCTGGCAGAAATGGCAATTAAAGCCAAGTCTTTCTCTGCGCGGCCGGGTTGGCTCAGCGGTTGAGCATCTGGGAGATGAAGGTTTGATTCCTGGTTAGGGCACATGCCTGGGTTTTGGGCTTGATCCCCAGCAGGGAGCGTACAGGGGGCAGCCGATCAATGGCTCTGATCATTGATGTTTCTGTTTCTCCCTCTCCCTTACTCTCTCTGAAATCAATCAAAAAAAAAACAAAAAACAAAAGCCAAGTCTTTCTGAATCCAGGGTTGGCCCTCTGGCCCATTATGAGGTGGTCACTTTGCTACATTGCTATTTTTAGTGACACATTCAGGCAACCGGATCAGGAGGTTGCTCTGTTCCTTGTGCTATGCCAGCTGTTGAAAGGATGTTCGAGAAATGTACATGCGAACTTTGCTGTCTAGGACCTTACCCATCTGATGAGAAATACATACATCAAGATAGAAACCAAGACACATGGAAAGGTTGACATGACTGCCCAGCGTTGGAGAAGCCCAGAGAAAGGGCAGGCTGTTACTGCTGAGGCTGGTCGGAGAAGATGGCATTCGAACTGAGTTCATCAGAACAAGTGAGCCAAATTAGGCAGGCTACATGGGAAAGGGGTAAATTGGGCCAGCTACGTGCCATGCTCAAGCCTGACATGAAGGAAACCTTAGAGAACCTTTTTTCTGCCAAGGGCCATTTGGATATTTATAATATCATTCCTGGGCCATATAAAATGATGAACTTAAAAATTAGCTGTGAAAAAAGCTGCTAGATTTATTGAATTTTGAGTCCCGCCTGCGGTTGCCTTAGCAGGGCCTGACCAAATGACGTTCCTCAACCCTGCCTTAGAGCAAAGACTCTGATGGGGAAGAAGCTGCAGGTAATTAATGCCCCACATTTTTTAGAGGCAGGGCCAAGCTTAGAACTTCAAACTCCCAGGAAAAACTGTGGGAGCACATACACCAAACTGTTAACAGCCACTTTTTACTGCAAAGAGAGGAAAGCATTTGGAAAGATGGCCGTATGTATTTTCTCCAGTCGTTCTGGCAAATTCTTTGTCCTGCAGTTCCTTTCCACTGAAAGGAAGGCTATCACTGCCAGGAGACACTTAAGGGATGTTAAGTAATGTTTCCCTTAGAGCAATTTACAAGTGTTGTGTTTTTCCCCCTGGTACAAAAGACAGATCTAAGAAAAATGCCTAATGCAGCTGGGAAAGATTTTCATTCTTAGGAGGCTGCTGGACGTTCAGAAATGAACTTAAGTGGAGCAGAACATTTAACACTAATAAATTGTTCCTCTAATGTACCTGCTTCAACGACCCACGGTGCCTGTCATTCTGCGCATCTGTTGCAGCGACTGACCTAAAGGTTCACAGCCAGCTGCGTGTCTACTCACGTCAATTATGGGCCTCAGTTTCCTCACCCATAGAAGGAAGAATGAAGGTGAGAGAACTTCTGAAGTCCCCTCCAGCTCCAAAGTTTATCATTTTAGAAGGTGATTCCATGAGAAAAGGGAGGCCTTGTCCCCCTGGCTGTATCTCTGTGCGTCCCACCAGTTTATCGCTATACATGTTCTTCTTCGATTAACATTCAAATCGGCATGACCTGACTTCTATGAGGTTCATGGAACTTAGCCTTGGAATCCATTCTACTTTGGGGTCATTGATTTTAAAAGAGGATTGTTTAAAAAAAAAAAAAAAAAATTCCAGAGAAGGCAGATTCTCTTTTGCCTCTTTCCTTTTTCTCTATAAACCTGCCAAAGTCCACCAGGTGTATGTTGTACATTCTGTGAGTTTTGACAAACATATAAAGACATGTCCAACGTTATAGTGTCATATAGTTTCACCACCATAAAAATCCCCTATGCTCCACCCCTTCCTTCCACCCCACCCCCCAACCCCTGATCTTCTCACTGTTTCATCTTTTCCAGAATGTCACGTGGCTGGGCTCATACCGTGGGCAGCCTTTGCCGATTGGCTTCTTTCCGTGCACCCAAGGTCCTTCCATGTCTTTTCATGGAGCACCAAGGCTGTGCTCCGACAACCGATGACATCTGTCCGCAGTGCTCACTGGACACGTCTATACGATCACTTCTGACAGCTGTTGGCAAACTTGCAGAATTTAAGGGCCAAGAACAGAAAACCGCGCATGCGCGTTACTCATTTCCTCGCTAATCCAACGTGCAGGGTGGAAGTCTTTCTTCAACGCGTTAATGTAATTAAAAAAATATTAATCCATCTTTTTGTACCGTAACATCACTGTTATTTTTCATTAAGATTGCACTCACCTCATTATTTAGATGAGGTTTAATAAAATAGTTATTTTCACCCTTTCTTTCCTGGCCATTAGTAGTCATCATTTAAGGATTATGGGGGGGGAAGTGTTGTTGTTTTTTCTTCTTTCTGTTCCGTTTTTTGTTTGTAAAAGAGAGGGGTGGTTAAGGGCATGAGAAGACAAGTCACAGCCTGGGAGGAAATATCTGCAAAACGCCTATCTGATTAAAAACCACCACCACCACCACCACCAAAGAAAGCCAACAACAACAATCTGTTATCCGAAATATACAAAGGACCCTTAAAACTCAATAGTAAGACCACAACCCGATGGAAAGACCAGGAAAAAAAAGCTCTCAACAGAAACCTCACCAAAGAAGGAAGGTCCATCAGCAATAAAGATAAATTAAAAAAAAAAAAAAAA